TTTTTTCTAATTAAATAAATTATTCACCTGTTGTAACGGCATTTTTTAATGGTCCCTTTTTTTTATTATTATAATCCAAAAAAAAAAATAACGAAATACGCATGCGTATAATATTATTTTGACTCATAAAAATAAGTTAATAACGAATTCAAGTGTGCTACCACCTTATACAGTCGACCATGACCACCACCATAATCATCATTGGTTGAAAAAAGCAAAGATTTTCATTCGATGACTTCCCTCCAAATATCCCAATAATCATTATTTTCTTTCTAATCGTTAAAATGAAAATCGTGTTAAAGAATTTATCCAAAAATTTATAACTCTCTCTCGCTCTGTATCCATTTTACTCATTTTTTTTTTTGATTATTGAATGAACGCGCGTTGTTGAAAAACTTGCCACCACCACCACCATCATCATTATCTTTAGCCAATTCTCTCTTTCTCCTTTTTTTATTTACTAAAGTGGCAGCCACCACCATCATCATCAACATCGACGTCTTCGTCGGATTGTGTTCAACACAACACACACACACGCCCGATCAGGCAACCTGGATTTTTATTCTTTTTTTTTGTTTTGTTTTTGTTGTTGTTTAATCAGTTTTTTTATGGCTTAAAAAAGTGTCCAATTCAATTCATGAGAATCCATATCAGTGATTTATATTAACAACCTTGCAACATTTCTTTTGATTGATAAATACACCGAGTTGTTTTTGATGTGAAGATAATCCAAAAATCCGCTGTTTACGAACGATCCAGAATATCTGCTTGTTGTGTATGTCTTTGCTTACATAATAAATATATGTTTGCCGTAAGTGTTGACTTGGCGCCGACTCTTCTTCTTTTTCGAGAATTTCTTTAAATACACATACAATATTTACTCAACTTTTGACCGCGTTGAAGACGAAGAAGTGAAGAAAAAAAATTCTCATCTGACGCTAATAATGATAATGTTGATGATGAAATAGATGTGGTGCTCAACATTCAATGAAAATTTATAAACAAAACAAAACAAAATCAACTTAAAAAAAAACATCGATTATCGTCATCTTATATCGCCCATCACCATTAATACCTGTTCCAAATCGCCTTTTTTGTTGTTGTTGAAAAACAACTTGATTCTATTTGTCACCATCATCATCTGTCACTTGTTGTTGTTGTTGTTGTTCTTGTTACTGTTGAATCTCTCTATATATATTATATCAAACAATTTATTCAATTCAAATTCTATATAATCTATTCAAGCCAAAAAGAAAGAAAGAAAAAATCGTTATTTTATTGTTTTATTACACTTTTTTTTCTATCTATCTCTCTCTCGCCGTCGGAAAATACTCAAAATCGCTACATTTGTTGTTTGTTATTTTGATTTCGTTTAAAAATTTGTCCAATATTGAATAAATGGCTGAGGTAAATAATATTTGTTTTCATAATTTTCTGATGATAACGTTTTTTTTCATAATTTGAAGCCAAATACAAATGATTCAAATATCAGTGGTAGTGGCGGTGGTGGTGGTGGTGGAAGTGATAGTGATCAAGATTTTGATCCAACTGCCGAAATGTTAGTTAATGATTTTGATGATGAACATACAATGGATGAAGAAGA